ATACACACACACATGTATCGACAACACGCGTGTGTGATAATAAAATAACATTTGTAATTGAATATTATGATAAACGTGATATTCTAAACATCGCGCACTCTTTTCGATCATGTTGCTTGATGAATTTTAAAGTGAGACGCCAAATATGTACGTGATATTTTTAAATTTCATCCAATTTAATTATTTATGTATTGCATCACTTGGAATTATCGTTAAATTCAGGCTCTTAAACGTATAAAGCATGTGGAAAACGCAAATGAATCGATGATTAAAAAGTTAAGCGGTTGATATTCATTGTTGAAAACAATGTAAATAAAACTATCGTAGTTATCAATTGTTTCTATTTAAAAATTTAGCTATGAATACGTATGCATCGAATATTCGCTAACAATTTTGCGTTTAATAAAAATAAACGAGCCTCTGACGGCGCCGACATCTTTAACCCTCCCGATCTTTCATTCGACGAATTGACCTCATAGTTTCCTTGAGCCAATGACATAATTCAAGCATCACAAAACGATTTCGATTGATAAGCTTATTCGCCTCTTGCCGTAAACTCAATTTCCATCTACTTATTGTGTATTGGTATCACGGATTCATTCATAAATAATTAAATAATTCGCTTCGCTCTTCAATTTGAATCAATGATTCAAATCATTTAAATAATTTCTACATGGGTATTTTGTTCGATTCTACAATCTCTTTTTCATTACTTAAAAGTATGAAAATTTTCTATAAGGTATTTTAATTGTTTTCCAACTGACAGTTATTTCTTTCTGTTGAAATACTTTATTTAAATTAATCTTAGCGTTTTTTGATGGCAATACATATTATACACTGAAATACATATACACTGAAAAAAATTATGTTATATTAACGGCATTATTTTAATTGAAAATAATTTTGTTAATTTAATAATAGTATTAATGATTAACAGCTAAAATTTTATCAAAACAAGAGCATGGCGTATTTGTATTATTAATATAATATTATTGATGTGTGTTGTGTGTCTCACGTAACACAGCAGTGCTTATAAAGTGCTAAAAAGGTGCATAACTCTAGTTTTTTAACGTTTTAAAAGCACATCAGCACTTTAAAAATGCTTTCAAAATCCACTACGAAAAGCGTATTATAAGCGCATACAATCAGCGCAGAATAAATCCAATTTTATAACATGTTTAAAACATTTTTCACATAGTACAACAGTGCCTGCGTTCAGAAAGTGATGTAAAAGCGCGTACAACAGCGCATATGTTTTGATCAGTGTGATTTTGAAATCTGCCGAGTTATTCACATGCAATGAAAGTGCATAACTGACAGCGGTTTTGGGAGGTGCAGTCGCAAGATCGCTCCCAAAGCGCTTTGCACGCGCTGCTGTGTTACGTAGGGTGTGTATGTGTGTGTATGTGAATTAACGAAATTATTTTTAATTAAAATAATGCTGTTGACATAATATCATTTTTCTTCAGTGTACGTAATATTCTATTCGCAATAATTTTTGTTATACCAATATATCGATATTGTGAATAATTTATTTATAAACAGTCTACATATAATTTCTATTAGATGCCAAGATTAGACATTTATAATTTTATATATGTAATTTTGATCTGTGTATATAATTTGTTTATATAGATTTGTGTCAATGTTGCTCTGACTTTTTAAATATTTTATTTTGAAGCACATAAAATTAGCACATAAAATTATAAAGAAAATTTTGTTACAAATTAAAATTATCTAAAAAATGTGGATTCAGCAAAATTGATAATTAAAATAAAATATTTTGATGAACTATTCTTCAGGAATATGAATGAATAATAAAATCTTGTTTTTTTTTTGTTGAAATCTAATAGAATCCCAATTTTCAAGAAAATTAGAATAAAAATTTAAGAAGTTATGAAGAATTATATTTCGAAAAATTTTTGAAAAAAAAAGTTACGTCACTTTTTAATAAGAAATATGTTTACAAGAAAATAGTTTGATATATCGCTGAACAAAGGTTGCATTTAAATGATGAATTATGCATAATGACAAATATACATTATTTTAAAGGCTACGCACATTTTTATCGCTACTATCATAATATTTCCGTCATATTCCGTTATTAAAGACTTAGATAGTGATTTTCGATTATGTCATATTCGATAAATGAGCGAGAAACAAAATCATGGATTGTGAAAAAAGGGACGCTCGTGTTCGATATTTTGTGAGAGGCACGTGCGATCGTGGACCATACGGCTGTCGCATCATAAATCAACGGGTCAACGGGGTTTGTTACGTTTCTCTTGAGATTTATTTTGGTATTATATCGATAACCTTACGATGATAGCCTCTGTGTTCACGTCGCACCCTTTCGCGATTCTCTTCCACATGCCTGTTTACACGATTCATGTGCCGTCCGTGTATCTTAATCTCACGATCGGCAAGATTAATCCTTGTCAGCAGGAAAAATTCGAAGATTTGTTGTTTGATCGCGGTCAACATTCTTTTAGTTTTAATGCAATTTGACAGTACCAAGATATTTTTTTTTACATAGTCACAAACAGAAAGTATTTTATGTAAAGCTTATAATTATTAATTATAATATAATAACTTACAATTATTAACATTAATTTACGTCTTCTAATGGATTAGCATTAGGAGATATTACAGAGAATAAAATGGCGAACATATTATGATCAAATAATAATGGAAAACAATAAAAACAAGATAATACAGTTATACATTAAAATTACAAGAATATAGGAAGTTTTACATGTCGTAATAATATAAAAATATATACATATTCTTCCATAATACATGAAAGTTTTAGTAATGAAATATAGTTATAAGTACTGTATAAAATTGCATTCCACAAAATTAAACTTTTATTGTACTGTATGATTTACAACCATAGTACACAATTAGTTTATAAACTTTGTAAAAAAAATTCTACAATTCTTTTTTTATCTTTGAATTTTTTATATTTTCTTGAATCTTTAAATTGAAAGACACATACGCTGTATTTTTAAATATTTCTTTTATGACTAACTTCAAACTTTGATTGCTTAATTCTCTTTTGTTCAGTTTCGTTATGAATTATGAATCGCAGCATTTGTTAAAATAATACTGGCATACAAAAAAATTTTTTTGTCCAAAGATAATTAGGCCATGATAGTCTTCTATATTTTGACTCTGAAACCGAATTCGATATTCAAATTGCTTCACTACGTCATAATATTTTTTATTTTCGGCGGAAAATATCTAGATTTTCAGTATTCTTTTATCAGTTTAACTTACTAGCTTGCATATTATCGTTGAACTTATTTTCTTTTTTTCAGCATTTTCTTTTTATAAGCAACTAGATTATAAATGATTAAAAATAGATACTAGAATATAGAGCTATTTCTTGTTGATAAAAAATTGTGACGTGATAATGGAGCAATTTGGATATCGAATTTAATTTTAGAGCATCAAAATGTATAAGAATAATAGTCTACACTTATTTTTGTGTGCTTGTGTAACCATTTCAAGATAAATCATGGTATCGATCGTCGAGTATCATCGATTTGCGAGGAGGCACGTATTCGGCCTACAATCTATATCGAGAATACCATGAGATTTCGCGCACATGCTAACAGATGCATCTCGTTTGTCGAATAGCCGCAAAACGAGTGCAACGCAGAATGGAACGGAGTGCGAATAACAACGATGAAGCGGCTGCTTGGTGATGCTTGACCCATTTAAAAAAATTTATCTCAGGTCTGTTACTGAGCATTTCTAAGACGATAAGTACGACAAAAAAAGGAACATTTCGAAGCTACGAATTCACGATAGAACGTCATTTTTTTTCAGCGATATTCTCTTAAAACAACGGGACTGATGGTAGAAAGCTTCTCTCGCATCTGATTACATTTTGTGCAAAACATATTAATTCATATTATGTACGTGTCACAGAGTAACTTGACATAATATCTACATGTTTTATACAGAATTTGCCACAAAATCATTCATAAAATCAAAAACATGTATAAGATTTTTTATACGGAGTTTTGAAACAATCTGTTCAGAAATTAAGTTAACAAAGCATTCTTTTTTCACTTCCGTAATAATTAAATTTAGAAAATTAAACATGTTTGGCAATTAAATTACAACAGTAAATTTTAAAATTCCCTGAAAATTAACAAAAAGGTCAAAGTATCATTATTGTATAATATATTCCAGAGATCTGGTACGGCTAGAAATGCTCCAATTTTTAATATTACATAACTTTATAATACAATCTCGAACATTTTATATTTGATTTTATATTTGATTGTACTAAGTATTGATTAAATTAGATAACTTAAATGTCCAATTTAATTAAAAGCAAGTTTTGCAAACAGTGTCAGAAGTATTCCGTATTAATAATTTATTGTAGAATATCGATCGGAGTATATCAAGCATTTCTTATATATATTTTTTAATATCGAATACGTTTAAAATTTCAAGTTTTTCGTGGTTATGGCTGGATCCGATGTACTGACATAATTCAGATATAAAATACAATCGAGTTACATTTAAGCTGCACGTATAAAGAGTCGAATGATTAAACGATATAATAACTCTCTCTGTCAAAAATTGCGCTTACTTATACACCATATTTTAGCTTTCTGCTATTTTATTCAAAAACTACGTGATAAACAGTTACACGATTAAACTGCGATTTCTTGACTTTGCGATTACATTTAGATACAGTTCAACTAAAAATAAAATAAGGATACGAAAAGTGTTCGATATCGATAATAGATCGACGAAATACCTCCACGATATCGCGAGCATCCCTGTATTGCGAAGAGTGCGGGCGTGAAAACGTAGAGCCGTGATCTTCGTCCGCAAGTCGACCGCCTCCTAAACGGTCTCCCCGCTGCCCGACGACGGCTACAGGCGGCAAGGAACAACTTTGACCACGGCGGAAACGAGGAGAGAATTCCGGAGGACGTTAGACCAAGGGAGACATCACGTGTACCGCGTGTGGGGATCAGAAGAGGGAGAGAAAGGGAGAGAGGGAGAGAGATAAACGACGGGAGAGGAGTCTGATAGAGCGAGACGGCGGATCAAAGAATCCGGAGGAGGGAGAGAACGTGCCGATCCGCGGCGCGGTGGGAGAGACCGCGAGATCGCGTCGACGAAATACAAAGAGTGGGAGAGAGAGAGAATGAGAGACGGTGATAGAGGGAGCGAATAGGAAGAGGGGGAAAGACGAACTCTCCTCCCGGTGGAGAGAGAATCCAACGTGGAGAAAGAGGAAGTCGGGCCGCGAACGCGGGACGAGGAGAGCGAGTGGTGAGAGAGAAAGAGCCGGACCCGGCGTGAGGAGAGGGAAAACCACGGGGGCTTTTGAAAAAGTTTTATCTTGTCGGTGCGCTCGGCCTCTCAGACGCTACCGAACGCCGGTACGGTGTTGTTGGGCCACGGCGTGGTCGCGGCCTCCTCGGCGACGTGTTTCTAGGAAAGAGAACGAACGGAGAGAGAAAGAAAGGAAGAAAGAGAGAGAGAGAGAGAGAGAGAGAAAAAGGCAGAAAATCCCGCTCGTGCGCTCGCGATTTCTGGTCCCGGTCCGGTCCTCCCGTCAACTTCCGTCCATCTCGTTCGCCCGCGCGCCCGCGAACGTCCGCGCGAGAGAATCCCGCGAGGACCGCCGAGGAGGAGGCTCTCGACGAACATCATCCGCAGGATAAGAGGGCAAATTCCTTCTGCGTGTCCTTGGAGGAATTATTTTTCCTTCGACCGTCTCGCCATGTACCGTCGCTGAGGTGTCCCGCAGTGCCTATCGAGAGAAAGAGCGAGCGAGAGAGAAGGAGAAAGAGGGACGAATACGGCGAGGTAGGAAGAGAGAGAGAGAGAGAGAGAGAAAGAGGGTCAGTCAGGAAGAGGGCGAAGAGGTCGAGAAGTGACTCCTTGCCGGTCGCGACAGACGGCCAGCGGCAAGATGAAGAACCGTGTGTTGCTAAAGAGTGCATTGCTCCTGTTGCTGATCGCGGCGGATGGCCTGGTGACAGCATCAGAGGTAAGTTTTTTTTAGTAAGTCTGGAGACCGGGATCTCCTGGTCCCCAATCCGTTGAAATTACTGATAGTCCCGTGGAATTTCACCATCGGGCGGATGGTGCTCTGAAAGCGCATTTAGGAGTATAATACTGCTAAGAGAACGCATTTAGGAGCACGCTGCTCAGAAACGCGGTTAGATGAGTCTCGTTTCGAAAAATTGCACATGTACATTTGTACTGAACGATGACTGAAGATACGATAAGACATTTTTAATTGACATTTCGTGTCTGTTTAATCGACTGCAAATAATTCTACGAACGTAGCTTGCCAGATGAAAAGCGTGTTCAAGACCGATATTTATAATCAGTTCTTATATTTAAGACCTAAGAACAGTTTTAAGATGTTATAAGCTAATCACAGAGCCACTTAGTACATTACTTAAGATAATCTTGAAATAAGTATGAACTATAAACCGGCCTAAAAGACGTCATAAAGACGTTTCTCTTTATGAACATACGTCTAAGGTCTGTATTCATAATTGTAGATCGACCCACGATTGACCCTCATTTCAGGCGAGCTAGGATTTATTAAATTGTGATTTGAGAAGTATTTTTTAAATGAAAGACTGATTTAAATCTAGCTCTAATCGAATCTCAGGTTGCATCACGACTATGAATACGATTCTATTTAAAAGACGTTATAAAACGGTCTTCTGGACTATGTGTTGTTTGGATTATCATCGATAATTTCTCAAACGGCGCTGTTGAAAGGAAACTATAGCATCGCTAATATTTCGCTTCATCGTGTTCTTAAATATGTAGAGATCCATACAACATAGATCATTCCGACAACATTGCAACATTTTAGCAATATATCAGTAACATTGCAAACTTCTGTGTATGAAATATTTTGTTTTTAAAATTACTCTCAATATTGAGATTAAAATTTAAAAATGTATGACACTAGATTCTCCTATCACGCGGCGATATTCGCGAATTTATCAGCTGAAGCATTTCGGAAACTCCCTGTGCGACACACCGCGATTAGATAGTCCGTGTGGTTCAATCACCGCGATTATACCTGTTATGTGTCTCACTTACGTTTGCTGATAAAGATCGCCGCATACCTCGCGGTGAAGTCACACTTATCGCTCTCGTAAATCGTCGCGATAGATTCGTACGTATGGAGTGCGGTGGCATTATAAATGATCTCTCACCTCTTTTTAAAGATATCGAAGATATTTTCCTTTTTGGATTGTATATCATAACTCTGACGTGGTCCTCCGCTTGTATAATGGAACGTTTGGCGACCCGAACAAGGCAGCATCTCATTGCTCCAGCTATGCTTCGCTCGCGCTTTTGACGATTGAAAAGTTGACATAAAAGCCAATCGAAGTAAAATGATGGCTGAGAAAAATCGATTAATTATTCAAACGTGTCGCTTGCACCAACGCTGGCGCTATCGTGAGTTCATTTAACTACCAGCTGTATCGAAACTATTATGGTTCTAATATATCCACAAAATTCAGACCCCTCTCAGATAATATGCATGTTGCATAAGATATTTAAAAGACCTCATTTAGACATCTTTTAGACATAAGAAATCTAAAAGACGTCTTTTAGGTATCTTGTGCAACATAAATGTTATCCGGGCTGCTGCTTAATCTTCACGAGACGTTATCTGAACTTTCTGATTTTCAAAGTAACGATCTATACTAGTCTCTGTATGTATTAAATTATAAGAACATATTAAAATAAACAATGAGTTACACATTTTTAAAAATATAAAAAATCGGTGTGGATTCAACTATGTGGTGTTTATATTTTCATCATGTTGGTGTTGTAATATGAACACTTATATATGTAATGTGGATTTAAAATATCCGCTGTTAAAATCTCATTGTTTTGGTATTAATATTAACACCAACACGGTGAGAATTATATAGGTATATAATGTTAAATTTACATAGATATTTTTCAAAATGCAGGAGTAATTGTAACTATCTATTATGTATAATGATTGCAAACATTATATAGTGAAACAAAATTTGTCTGTTGCATAAATCGGATCTGTGGAATAGCATTTCAAATGTGAGAATAGATTCGATCTCCTTTTTCGTCGAATTGTAAATAAATTCCATAATTCTTGATGTTTCATACTCTTATTCCGTTTCTCTTTCGTGAAATGAAAGATGTGCCGACTCGCTGCGTCGCGCAAAGAAATCCTTCAATTTAACAATGATCAACAGGTACGAGAAAAGAGGACCAGTGGATCGCGGAAATATGCTGTTGAACTATCAAAGGTGCCGTGGGCTCGGAAAGTACGGATTGAATTGTTATGCACAACGCCGCCGGACTTGTTTGACAACCCAGCAACGAGACGCTCCGGGATAATTCGCGCGAATCGATTATATTCCGATCACACCTCGAACTCCGTAGAAGCGGATACGAGCACAAGTCGAACTCGTGTCGCGGCGAACTCCGATCGTTTCTGGAACCCGCCAATCTAGCGAAATATCATTCCGCGAAGCACGGATTTCCGCCGAAACGACACTTCGCTGGTGGCCTGATATGAGAATCCTTCTTCATCAGCTTCTTCGCAATTTTGCGTTCTTTTTTTATGCATTTATAAGAATGCGCGAACAATGACTCAATTCTCAATCTTCAAATTCTGGCTAAATATTAACTGTTTTATCGTTTCATTCGATTGAAAAATCTCGTTTTGTACCTTTTGTGGGGTATCTTATATTTCTGTAGAAAAAAAGGTATCTTAAATTTAATGGAAAATGTGGTTTTCCAGTAAAAATGATTTTATATGGGTATATATATATATATATATACATGTATATTATTTATTCCATAGAGCTATTCTATTTACTCCTACACTGTTAAATCTATGGTGTCTTTATTCTAATTTAAATCGTCACTATTCTTATATATAATATATCGTTATTTTATACTAAAACAATAATAAATTTGACATTATAATGTCAATTTTATCCATTATTTTAGTATAAAATAACGATATATTAAATAGGAACAGTGGCAGCTTAATTAGGTTAAATTTGATGACACTATAGATTTAATATTCTTTTATAATTTTTATATAAACACTCAGATGATCATCTGTTTCTTTTTTTCACTAATCTATATAATCTCTTAGGTTAAAAGTAGATCTATCGTAATAACAAGGCTGATGTATTCTAAAATACACAAATTAAATAAATTTTTTTCGACTTCAAAATATGAATATGGAAATGTTATTTCCATACAAGATGTTTAACGTTGTTATGAAGAGTTTTTACTAAAAATAAAAGTGTATAATTAATGTTATCAAAAAATTCAAAGGAATCATTACTAATAAAAAATCAAATAAATGTCATTGAATATCATGTGTAATACGATTCTAAATGAAGTAACTGTTGTTTTAAAACGCGATGAAAACTTTACGAGATGACCGCTTATTATCGCGTCGCCGATTTTAGAAGAAAAACAAAATTTTCCATAATTATTGACTAATATGATCAAATGATAACTGAGCGACCAGTATTACAATCGTGCAGGATGTTTTGGCTGTATAATATCAGCAAAAAATTATTTTCAAAAAACTAATATCAACCAATATCAGTAAAAAAAGTTTGTCGTAAATATGTTCTGAAACTACAAAAAAGAAACAAATTATGTGTATATTTTAATTGACTTATTTTTTATTGACCTATGCAGCGCAATTCTCATATATGCTGCAGTTTTAGGTAAATATTATAACTTTTAAACGAATAAGTGGATTCAAATAAACTTTTGCATGAACATTTATAGAGTTTTATTAGCATATATAAATAATTTGATTTAATTTGTAATGCTACTTTCTCATTAAATTTGCAAATAAGTACAAAGCGATTATAAGAATCAAGGCAAATAAAAAATTTAGTAATTTTTAAATCAATATAAGAAAATTGTGCTCCAATTTTATACAGATACTCAGACGTAATAAAACTACGAAATTTTCATATTTTTGTTAACGTTTTAAGTTGTGATGCGTACATTCTTAAATGATAACTAAGTGACCAGTATTAAGATCGTCCAGAGTTTAATCGGAGCAAATGCATCGCTGTCACTATTAAAATGCATCCGTCGGTCGACAACTCTTCTGTAGTACGTGCGTTTGTCATGATAACTTAACAATGATTGTGTTATCTTCCATTGCAAGTATTAAATATCGTGATACCGGTATGATACCAGCGATCAGGTCAAAATAGTGAATCGCGGCCTGGCATAAAAAACATTTTCCGTGCTTCACGGCTTATTCGGGGATTACTATGAGTATTTCAAACGACTTTCTCATTGGAGACATACAACGTGTCTTTTCCGTGATGTGCGCTATTCAAAGCAGCGTGGTTAATGGCTCTATTTGAGTCACAACGTCGCGTCGCGTTTGCAGTAAGTCGCGATTTCTCGTTGCATCCACGAGTCCAGTAATATATACCCTAGTATAAGCTAATCATTTTATGACTGGAAGTGTTTCAATTTGATGATGAATATCGATGCTTTTTCGTTGGATGCTTTTCATTTGGTGACACAAAGTTGACACACAAGTATCATCCTGTTTCTGTTACTTATGGAATATCAACAAAGTGACGTTTGTGTCTATTTGTGTCACGTAAATGGAAGGCACCGATTCTTTATTTACAACATGACGAGTATCGATATCACTTTAGGAAGCTACGATAAATTTAAAATGTGCTCCTGTTATTTTGTGTACAATATTGTTCGTCATAATCTTGGATGTCTGAGAGAGATTTAATTACTGAGATTTAATTTCAAATCATTGAAATCCGATTACAGATAAATCTTTTCCATTTTCATTTGTCACAATCTAATTTGATAGATATAATAAACCAAAACTAGCATTTAAAATTGAATCTGTTTGTTATTCTTGATATAATTTAAGTAGATTATATTAATTACCAAACAGAAACTTTATTTGATATAATTATATCTAGTAAACTGTGTCGTTTTTAATTG